TTATTATCAATGTTGAAAACAGTCATGCTGCTTAATATTTTTGTGTAAACTGTGATACATTTTTTTCAGGATTCTTTGATGAATAGACAGTTTAAATGACAACATTTATTTGAAACATAATTTTTTTTGGTTAACACGTCACGGTTAAAAATATAGCTCTGTCTGATGTCCACCTGTATGCATGTAATGCTTATATACAGGCAACCCGAATTGGACTTAGGTTTGAGTTTTGAATTTGCTGATCCCCCTCCACACTCTTCTGCCTATCACATGTCTGTTCTCTCCCTATTCTAACAATAAAATGGCAAAAAGCCAAAAATCTCAGGTTTGTGTCTGTTCCTTGTCAGATGAATCACCTGCTGATCCTTTAGCTCCTTTCTCACCAGATGGCCCTTGTCGTCCTGCAGCACCAGGAACACCTGACAAAGGGTACAGTGATTTAACAATGAATTAAATATTTGTAAACATGGCACAAATGAATAAAGTTCTTTGATATGGCTCAGTATAAACATACACACCTGGCATTCCATTTTCTCCTCTATCACCATGATCACCTGATACAACACACATAATTTTACATGAATTCACATTGACTATACTAACGAACTGGATACTGTATTTCAGGCTGACATATAATTGGTTACAAACCTTTAATTCCAGGTGGACCGGAGAGACCTCTTTCACCTGTAAAGATTTTTTTTTTTAAATCTATAAGCATTCGGATTTTGTTTATATAATGCTTTTTGAAAACATACCAAGTGTTCATTGTGATACGCACCTTTAGGCCCAGCAGGGCCAGGTTCACCTCTGAAGCCTTGAGGGCCTTGTTCACCTGCACAGAATTTTTATTATTATTTATTTTTTTGTTAATGTCATTATTTTATAACACAAAAATAACATAATTGCGCTAAAATATTTTTTGTAAAGAAAGAGTTGATTACCATGTAAACCACTAGCACCTGTTGAACAAACACAAAGAGAACAAAGATCAAACACATGCTAATATTGCATTACTGCTTAATGATTATGTAACATTTATATATATTCATGCCAATGCATTTCATTTGCCAATCTCAAATGA